CGCCTTCCCTCATGTCCTTTCGAAAAAGCCTTAAGACCTGGCTGTTCGAGAGGGCATTTAATTAAGTGCTAGCACAACATTACGGCAATGAGAACTGGAATGGTATAGGAAGATGAGACTGGTTATGATTCTACCAAGAGACGAAGCGGATTTTTATGTAGTTTGTATTTGTTGTATAGTTAGATGTTGTTGACACTGGCCATTGTAACTGTCTTTTTATGTGTACTGTACACCGCCATGAGTCGCCCGTAAGGGCTGAGAATGGCGGTTAATAAGTGCATCAAATAAATAAATAAATAAATAAATTTAACTGATTGTGTGCTTTTCAATCATTTCCAACTTTTGTTCAGAGGGGATTTGTCTTTAACTTCTGAGGCTGAGAAAGTGTGACTTGCCTAAAGTTACCCAGTGGGTTTCCATAACTGAGTGGAGATTTGGGTGGGAGGGATCTACAGTTGGCTTTGGGTACTGTCAGTCATATAGCGTTGTGGAACATAGTATTGTGGCAAAAACATTTTCTTTTTCCCTTGGCAGGAAATGTGGTTATGACATCTCCCAATTACAAAGCAGCAGCGTGTGAGTTTATCCATTCTTTCCGCAAGGGACTTCTAGGGAAGGTAATGCTTGACCAACTTGAGTAGATTTCTGTATAATGCTGGACTGAAGGATCATTTTAGAAAGTTGTGTCTGGGGCAGAAAGCATCATCATGCAGCTGAGCAAGACTACAGGGACTTTGCTTCGATCTAATACACATGGATTCTATACCACTATTGACAATTTTCATCTGCTCTTTGCAAACAGTTTCTGTAGTATCCTGAGGATCAGTAGTCCATAGCAAAGAACATTTGTAACCTCCATCACTAGTTTCTGAAGTATTAATTCAAGCCACCTTAGAAATGTAGCTAAGAAATACTTTCAGTAAATAAAATGAGTAAGAAACACTTATTCTTCCTTTTTCTGTATGCCATGCTATGCGATTGGCTGTGCGTTAGAGTATATTGTATCATGGTGATACATTGCAAAAATGTGCCATCAGGAGCAGCACTTTTTTGAAGTGCATAATGAAAGAGTGGCAGTGGGCCCAAGGATGTTGATCATTTCCTGGTCAGGTTTAGACATACTGGGACTCAAAACTCCTGCAGGGGTGAAAGATCAATTATGGGATGATCTGTTCCATGACGTTGGGGGATTGGATGGATTCCTGATGAAGAGTTTCTTGTCACCTTTTTGCAAGCAATTCTGTTGAAGCTCTGGCTGATCTCTGGAATGGGAAAATGGCCAGACTAGAGAGATGGTGGTGGAAAACTTGAGCATGGGGTTAGAGTGGATTTGAAAG